GATCAACGAATCTTACAGTCAACGAGTAATATCGCAATTACATATTTTAGCGCATACGTTTTGCCAGATTACTTTTAGTGTTTATAGTAACTTAAGACCATTTGTCCGGCAGAGAATGGTGTTTTTTTTAATTTGCGCAATACCGAAATAAGTTTTTATTATCCAGCTAAAAAAAGTTTGGTTCAGAATAAAACTATTTCGACATTGCCATGTTACGCTCTATTAGCGCTGCGGCAACTGTACGCGGCATAGTTACTTTAGAGCTTATACTAGTACCTGCTACGGACATACAACTACGACAGAAGGCCTCGTGGGCCCCAGTAGGAGATTATTGGTGCACTAATCACTGAATGTGCGACGTTAAACTCCCGGTCGGGGCACGTGAATTTTCTTCAAGGTGTAGAAAACCTGACCTGCTCCTAGACATTGGAGGGACTGTGGATCCACCGTGGCTCGGGATGACACGTAAAATGGTTGGTCCCGTCTCACAAAAATACATAGGCCGAATTGGAGACGTATAAAGAACCACTGAGGACGCAACAGGCACTCTGGCTCGACCACCCTCAAGTTTGCATTTTGCCTTAAGCTGACTTAACCTGGAAAACTGACTGCTGAATAAGAAACAAGTGCCGCAGAGCGACAGCGCTCACCCCCAACCCCATGACGGCCCAAGTGGTTCTGCATGCTAAACTCACTGGCAAAAACGCGATTATATTGAAAGGAGGGGCCACCCTTTTTTTCCAATTTCCCACCCGCGTCTTGGTCCGGCGCTCAGGAGGCATATATCTGGATATACTAATACAGATCTAAAATCTATGATAGCCAGAGGAACGGCATACAAACACGATGTGGCGGTTGCGCAAAAGATGCGTTGTTCCCAACCTCCGAAAGCGGTTTAAGCCGGGCACTTCCCGCGGTGGGACTGAGCCGCAAAATGGCGCCGACCGCGGACAACGACGCACGGTGTTGTATTGTAGCAATCTCGCGGCTCCCCGCTATACGAATTCGCGCGCCGAAGGAGGCACGCCGACCCGGAGCGCCGCGGGAATGCGTTAACACGACGCGGGCAGCCTAACATCGCCCGCAGTTTCGGGCACACGTCTACATCGCTCGGCTACATCGGCTTTGGAGGGGGCTCTTCTCCGATTATAGATTGACACGCCGTTTGTACATCCTTTGCGCTCGTAGTCACCTTGCCACGTATTTTCGTACCTGTATCTGGCGCTTCTCCACTCTCTTTCTCTCTTCTCCACTCCCCACGCTCTGTCTTCTCTCTCTCTCTTTCTCTCTCTCTCTCGCTCGCTCCGCCGCCACGGGTTAATAAGGTATCTATATTACATGCCATCAATGCTGCCGCCAGCCAGGCACACAAGCATGCACTTGAGCGTATTCAATAAATATAATGCTTAAATAAATCAAGAAATCTATTTACTTACCAAAGTCACCGTGGCGCAAAACTCCCCGAAGCCAGCGTTTGTTGATATAGCTCATTTGGACCGTGCCCGGCCGCCAACTGTGAGCGCGGAGGAGGCAGGAGGGCTGGAATGTTCGCGTCTCGCCGTCTTCGTAAAAACATGTGCATCATATGATATTTGTGTGTCAGGTGTGGCGCGTCATTGTAGGATTAGCCTACGCTGTAAAAACTGCCACGCCACGCCAGCACCTGCTCGCCACGACGCTCCATCGCCACGGGCAGCGCGGGCGGTCAAGAGTGATATAAAACCTCGCACGTACGGACCAGGCGCTTTTCCAGATAACATCTAGTGGAAATTCTTTCAGTGTAACAAACATCAATCAACGCGGCTTAGCAATCAACGTCGGGGTACTAAGTATTGGCTATCCGGAAAATTTGGAAGTCGCACTGTCAAAGATTCGAGGTAAAGACTGCCGTACGGACCTTAACTCGGCCCAAGTATCTATTCGCTACACTAAAGTTTACAGTTAGGTGCAGCGTGTGGAAGCTCTCCACCGCGGAGCAGTTCTAAGCTGAATCGCCGATCCTTGTGTGGAAAAATTACCTTGAAATCCCTCCAAGAGGCTCGTTTCGCGGCCATTCTATGGCACGCCCATATGTACGCAGAAAAAATTCAGCGGCGTGAAACGGAAGAAATGCCAAACCGTTTCTTAGAGCGAAAATTAAACGCGCCGCCAGATAGAGCAATTACCTAGGCTTTGCTATTACGCGTAGCTACAGTAATAAAGATTACACTGTGTAACTTTAATGACTTCGCTATATTACATGTTATCATGGATATGCGTCGTATGCGCGAGCGTCAGTGTGGTGGTTGGTGGGGCGAGAGGGGGGGATTAGGGGGCGGCGGTGCGTGGAGCGAGCTCTAATAGCAAAAGCAGTTGCGCGAGATGGCCGCTAGTGCAAAGTGTCATCAATAATCAAAGATGGCATCACCCTTCGTGCGTGCATAAACTCACTCCATTTGAGTTGTCTGAAAAATCCAAGTATATTCAGGCAGGCGAGAATTTCGCCTCAGCTGTGAGTTACACATCTGCATTGCAGCGTTGCCAGGCAATAATTATGATTTGAATGTGCAGTTCACCCCAATGCATGCGTTATTGGGCTGCCCCATGTCTTTTTTTTTTGGCCTACACACACGAGACATTCAGCGGGTTCATTAACAGTCTGCTATTACAGGCGTGCTACTCAGTTGCTAATACAGATGCCTTAGGAAAATTAAATGATTTAAGGAGCGTAAACCTTGTTCAACAAAATTGTGCCTTTGCAATTGAACTGTGCAACTGTAGCCTCACATCCACAATGGCAAAAGCAGTTCAGTCCTTTTGTTAACAGTCAACAAATCCATGTTTAACCCTCTCTTTTGAGCGGTCAAAAGTTATCCGACACTTGACTCTTCGCATGTCAGGCAGAAAGCTACATTTCATGGTTCCTTTTCAATTAAAGCATAAAAGCTAGTCACCGCTGAAACATAAAAGTTTTTCAATCGTCGCGTCAGCAATGTCCTCGAGAAAATGTCATAAATCTTCCCTGTGGGCCCCATCTGACCTTTGACCTGTGACCAGTCCAATTTCGGCAACAGTGATCGCTTTTCCTAGCCCATGATGCTATACGACCGACTATCCGAGCCTAGGTCGAGCCGTTTAGATTTGTGCCGCAATTCTGATTTCCTCCCTATATCCTTAAGTTAAGGAGGGAATGTTCCCCCTTTCTTTACACCTCTCTTGACCTTTGACCTTTGACCCCCAGCTTCGACATCCCAACTCGCGTTTTGACGATTTCCCCCAACATCCCAAATATTCGTGACCGGTACGTCGAGCGGTTAAAGCCCGGCGCACACGTGAGTTATTTTACTCAAGTAAAATGACGCACAGTCAAATACTCAACTCGAAAATCCGCCGCACAGTGGAGTAAAATGTACGCATGCGTCAAGATTACTCACACGAAAAATCCGCCGCACACGTGAGTAAAATGACTAATGCGTCATTTTACTTGAGTAAAATAACTCACGTGTGCGCCGGGCTTAAGATTTGTGCCCAACTGTTGACAGACGCACGGACGGACACTCGCACGGACGATCATGTGATTCTACAAGCTGCCAGATGAGCCAATAAGAAGAAGGAATAAGAAGAATAAGAATAAGAATAAGAAATAAAGAATAAGGAATAAGAATAAGAAATAAAGAAGAAGGAATAAAAAGTAGGAATAAGAATAAGAAGGAATAAGAATAAGAATAAATTCACCGCACATTCCAAAGAGAGAATCAGTGCCTTGTGAAATACAAGAGAGAGACCCCAAGATACAAGACACGACAACGACCCCTTCAGCGCAACTGGCACCCGTCCAACTCCTACTCCTATAGAACCCATCACTCCGGCATCAGTGCAGTAGGGCCTATCGTAGAATTTTTTTTTAACTTATAGACTCACGAAAACTTATATACAATAAACACAACAATCTCACCTTAGTTATGCATTTGATAGTCACGGTAACTCAGGCAAAGCAAAATGTTTTTCAGGGAAATTTTCTCAGCCTTGGCTGTGTTCTGTGTCAATGTTATCAATGACCCGGCGAACCTATGAGCTCTAAAACCGTGTCTGTGATTGGCTGAATGCGGTGCCTTGATAACGTGTCAAACGTTGAAAATTATAAATCTATTATCTGAGTAACGGTTAATGAACAACGAGCACACTTAAAGGCTGTAACTTAGATCTGATATTAAATAGGATTACGAAGTTGTTTTGCTGTGAAATCTGTTACCACAATTTACTAAATGGTCCGAATCAAGATAAGCCAATCACACGTCGCCTTTCAAGATGTGGGTATCGCCACCTATTGTCCATAAATGTAATCAATGAGTATATTACTACTATCAATATTGATAGACTCCTGTTACTACTACCCAAGAAGCTACAGTTATCAGAAGCCATGTTATCAGGAGTCTATCAATATTGATATATCTCTATTGATAGACTTTTGATGTTATATGCCACCATGTTATATGTAGCTCCTTGTATTACTACCGTGGCTCATATGTTTTCGAAAGTAAATGTGCGCAAACGTATACCGTGTACGCAAGCAGACTGCAAGTTGGCATGCACGCAAGGGACTATACTGTAGTGTAGGGAGGGAAAGAACCCCAGGGATGCTGTATGCTGATATTGTGGTCTTGATAGCAGATAATAAAAGGAAACTGCAGGAATTACTAGATGTGGCGGCAGGCGCAAGTCATGATTTTTAATAATATTAATAAGGCGGAATATGAGGATGAAAATTTCAAACTAGGGATCGAGGCTAAGTCTAGAAACCGTTAACGAATACACATACACATAAACAATAACATAGAAAACTGTGTTTAACTACATGAAGGTAAAGTGCGAGTAAAGGCAAGAAAATACCGAGGGATAATAGCAACGAAGGCATACTATAGCTGCAGCAGTTACTGGGTAGGGAGAGAACTGTGGAAGACAGTAGCAGACTAGCAGTACCTGCCCTAACCTATGGAAATGACATAATAATATATAAGGATAAGAAAAATGGAACAGTCACTTTCCAATTAAGCCATTGAAAATACCCAAAACCAGCTTGGCAGCTAGGGAACTGTTAGGTGCCCCACCGGGGCCCCACCTTACGCGGGTATTGAAACAATAAGGAGGATCTTGGATGGTCCACGTTTGCAGGATAGAGAAGCGAAGAGCAAATTTAAATATTTAGCGAGATTAAATTATATGGATAAAGAGAGGAAATGCAGGGGAATAGCGGAAGCTATTAGTGCAGGAAATTTTACGTCGGATTAGAATAGACGAGTAAAATTCCTGGGGGGAAAGTATATGACGAAGAACAGTTATTGATAAATAGAGACTGGGAAAACAGCGAATCATGGAACGATACAGTAGAAAAAATCATTATAAAAGGCAGCACAGTCAGATGGAGAAACGGGATGGTAAATAAAAGCACACTAGAGCTATATAAAGGGAAAACATTTCCTAAACAAGAAACCTTTTACAATAATAATAAATAAAATCGGCAGTAAGCTGCTGTACCAATGTAAAGCGGGATGCCTCCCCGTAAATGAAAGAACCAGGAGATGGGTAGGGAAAGAAAATTGCACTGTGTGCAATAAGGGAGAACCAAAAGACCTAAAGCATTTCTTGTTAGTTTGCCCGGCATACAAACACCTAAGGAAGATTATGTGAGACATGCTCCAAGAAGTGGGGGTCACCCCTGCACAGCTGGAGGAAAGGCAGGCGATGCTCACCATCTTGGGGCTAAATGAACATAAACGTTACGGGAATTGGGTACGTAGAGCAGGTTAAACATTAACATAACTTAGAATCAGCCAGGAAGCTCCGGAACAAAATCTCCCGGTAAAATGAAATTACCGTTAGGAAACTATCAAAAATAAAAAGGGAAACACCGATATAAAAGTTTCTGTCGATACATACATATACATACATACATATATACATACATATACATATATACATATATACATACATACATACATACATACCTACCTAAGGGAAAGAGACATAGTTTATCAAATAGACAGATCAACACTGTGGATCGCAGTAGGAAAAGCCTCAAATTTGCAATTAACTAAAGAGGAAGGGAGAGAATTCTAATACGGAATGACGGAAACAAAGAAGCTAAACTTTAATAAAAGGGATCCTTTGAAGATGGCATGTGACGAAAACAATTATAGCTATCGGAAGTGGGGGCAAGGGGACAGTTGCCCCCAAAGAAATGTAGATACATTATATGGTCAACAGTGGTCACCGGCACAGAGCACGCGGCCTTGCCCCCAGGCAAAATAGGTTGTCTACGCAGACTACGCTGCTGGTGGGGGACGTACGGGGCACTCATTTCCGCCCTTGCCACGAACAGAGAGAAAGAATATAGTGGCATACGTGCATATCAAATAAAAGTGTCAATGACACTGTAGCTCACCACAAAAAAGGACACAAATGAGTGAGTGAGAAGAAGTCAGTTTTAATTGAGCAACCATCGACGTAGCCCTACATTATAGAAACGAAGAGTATATATGGGAGAACTCCCATTATATACTCTTGATAATTATATGTGTAATTTTTTATGTGAAAATAAATGTTTGAGATGTGAAAGTCTGAGATGTGGGCGAGTGATGGCGTTACACCTAAATGATCGCCATTTAACGTTTTTATAATATTCAGATTTAGGCACTGCCTAAAAGCGGAGCTCCCGATGTGTAACGTGTAAGATTGAGAGGATACGCTTATTCCACGTAGCGTCTATATAGGGCCTACCACGTGACAACGGCGTTTCCCTGCCCATAACACAACTTTTGTCAAAGATTAATTGGTTGCATGGAAGTGTTTACTTCGTATGAGTTTTTCTAGGCGGTAGCACACGGTTGCCATCTGTATATCGCAATAATAATTTATAAACCAAAATAAATCACAATTTGTAACGGTAGATGGCGCTATACCTGCTTTGATGTTTCTTAGCGATGGCATTCGAAATAAATAGGTTATGCTGCGTTCCGACATGTTTTGTAAAACTTTACTCTAATATAGACGTTTTATCGGCAGGGTGGAGAGGAAATACCAATTTTGCATTAATGATATTGTCAATGAAATCTTGTAAAACGAACCAGACGAGTGTGACACCACAGACTGTTATCTGCGTGTCTATAACATAACATGCTATATAATTGCCAAAACCTACCTAATTTGCATAATTTTTTAAACCCCTGGCCCTTATTCGTTCACATACCAAAAATGAGCAAAATCCGTTGAACCTGAACTGACTAATGGCAATTCCAATTTTTGCCAAAAAAATTGCCGTGGCTCGAAAGTACGTCGACTGGCGTGCTCCAAAATAGGACGTTCAATATGGGAGCATAGCAGTAACAACTATACCCAGTTTCAAACATGTGGGCCAAACGGTTCCTGAGTTATCGTTGACCGTAGCCAAATGTTGATGGAAGGACGGACGGACGGACGGACGGACGTACGACGGACGACGACCCATGGCAATAGCTCACCTTGACGATGTCAAGGTGAGCTAAAAACAACCTATATGTTCTTTGTATCTCTGCTTATTTCACGTGCTCGTTTGTGATACGAAGCATATATGCGCATTTATTTACACATCGCGTATTATGTTTATTACATTGCTATCGTGCATGGCAACTACACAACTGCGTTCAGAGAATAAACAACGACGCAATAGCTTCATTTTGAGCAACAGTTTATTTTCGGCGTCTGAAATGAATTTTACAATCAACGCCATAATACGCGTCCAAGCCAGCGAGAACTGTATGTAGTTTCAATACTAGTGGCTCACAAATTCCTTCTCTAAATCCGCGCCGCTGTGAACGGTTCGCGCGGTAGCTTGCTCGGCTATTATTCGTCTGTTCGTGAGAGAACACCCGAAGCGACGGTGACAATGGATGCTAGGCCTACGCGGCGAGCGTGAACGTACGTGGTGGGAGCACTGATCGCTATATTATATAATCAGTGTTATAGTAACATAATCACATAATAGTCATGATCAGTGGGTCGGAGAGCCAGTTGGCGTGAGAGAGCGGATAAACAACCACGCGTCACAGATATGCCGGTAGCGAAATCACATGTACAGACAATACATTTAGGTAACACGTGACGATGACAACGACGTCGACGGCGATAATAATGATGACGATGATAATCATGATGATGATAATGATGATAATGAAGATGATGATCATGATGAAGATGGATATCTCGTGCAATACGTAGCTGATATTCACAACGCACACGAAGCAACCGACGAGTACGGAAAAAAGGACCAGATTTATAGTATATATGAACCGTATATAAATGTGACGTGCTAAGAAGCACGCCTGAGCTTATCGTAATAATAAATATAGGAGCGTCTCGCGCCGCCTGATATTTGACCATCATGACACCGTGGATGTGAGAGGAAATATATAAACCAATTATTAGTAGAGAGCGCATTGGGGCATCTACGATGTATGGACACATTACAACCGAAGACTGCACAGCGACACCTACAGCACCGTGCGTAAACCAGCTATTCCACGCATTCCTGGGAAAATAATACGTTACAGACGGTTGCTGTACACGATATCTTTTTCTCATGGAATCATATTACAATAGTAATATTGCCTCTGAGTTACTGAGTACATCTTCTGTCAACTAGCATCAAGAATAAAACTTTTACAAATAAATGTTCAAATGGGTTAGGGTGGCCAACACGCGTGTGGTGTCTTACTAGTCACTAATCCACTCCATCGTCTATCCATTCATTCATTCACTCAATCATTCATTATTCAATCAATCTTTTCATTCCCGGTTGCGGAATTTGTGTACAGCCTCCTCAAAACTACACCACTCGTTGCGAAACATTTTGAGACAAAATGCGAAGGAATGCGCCTCGAGAAAAAAAGACCAAAATAGAGTAATATATATCATGCGTCATTTCTTATTTAGACATTGTTATTCGCACCTCCGCGAATCTCGTCAACAAATTGCATCTTTCGTAGTCTCCAACCCCACACTTTCACAGACGCTCACAGCCACATGGCACGTAATGACCAACTGAAAGACAATCACTATGCCCGCTAGTGACTGCTGTCCGACTTGACTAATTGGCTCAGTGACCGGGCGAAATATAATAGCAATATATTCGACCTTTCAACGTTATAATGGTTGCAAATTCGGTGCCCAATCGTGACTAGTACTAGCAACATTTATAATAAGAAGTAAGATTTCACGAGGAGTAGGCCCCCTACATGATTGAACAGATTATTCGTTTTATCGTGTACTCCTTATTTCACCCACACACACACACAAAGTATGTACCTGAAAATCTCATCCAGTTTGCTAGGTTCTGAAGATATGCACTCAGTATTACAACTAGATCGTGCACATACCCGGTAAATCAACATCATCATGATCGAAGTCGATGAATCTTTGATATTAAACACAACATGGCCAGTGGTACGAAGTAACACACTAGCAATACTGACGAACGAACAACATTTACATTTTCGAATCATTAAATGTACAAGTATTTACGTCTATTTTGATATCATGGCGGTAACATATTGTAAGTAATCACCTACACATATGGCGACATGTAGCACACCGATATTTTCTATTACGCGTCAGTTGAGGTTTCATCGGAGAGCATGCTAACGGCACCAGGTGAATACCTCTCACACGCCAGTTTTCACCTTCAGCACCTGTATATTAAGATGTGACATACACGCGCGCACGCACTCACGCACGCACGTACACACTTGCCAACTTGTCTGCACCACTAAATCTCACAGCCCAGTTTGTGATGTTTTTGCAGCCACATCTAGCGGCTGCTACGTAGTGCCAATGATATCACGATCTAGTATTCGATGTTGTTTACCCTACGATCATGACCTCGATCACACATTCTTGAAGCTACTGCTATGTGCGTAGTAACTACCTGGCTGTTGTAACGTAACATGCTAGTAGGCACCTCGTCAGATAATCTCATACAACTGCTCCCACACATCACATAGTGCTGTCACTTGCTGTCTCTTCCAATGTATGGTCATTATGTTACAGGTAGAATCACTGAGCCGATGAACCGATTTTAATTAGTTCCCATACATCACATGTACATCTACCATGCTGCAATTCCAACCACAAAATAGGCATGGTGCATTCTATTTATTTCATTCGTGTCATTGTTCTTATATGCCACGTGGTTACACTTCCACGTCTGGAGTGAAGTTGCCTGCCTTGTTTTGTCATCATGAAGTAACACGAATGCAACACAGTTTTAACAGAGGCAATCAGTAGATGACATCAGCAGTAATTAGTATACTTAGAACATTTAATGTATTTCCTAACGTATGACACGGCCCGAACATCAGCACCCACGGCATCCACAGCAATACATCGGTCATAAAATAACAATTCACGTCTCGTTAAATAGTTACAACTCCGTATCGAGATCAGATCAATAATTCATTGTTTGTTTACTATTAACTTAAAATTCGCTAGTGCTGACAGCATAAACTGTTGTTCTACCTGACAACTACCCTTTGTGTTCACAGTGCACAGAATACATGAACACTAATTGCAAACAACGTAGTTTACCACTGCTTACTATGCTTCAACAATACAATGTTGCCATACTTTATATAATGATTAACATACGCTTATGAGCATGAATCTTCGACTGACTGGCATCCACAACAGCTATATATTTATATATACTATTAAAGTATACTATATACACATCCAAATTAACGTATTGGGATTTTACCACTATGCAAGATTAGCATGTCAACCAGTATGCATAAGCATTGAGAAAAGGCTGGCAGATATGCATGCAGGCATTATTGGCCGAATGACCCACGATTTTGATCATAAGTGCCCAACAGATGGCGCACTCCACACACATCACAACCTGTTTAGGGCGATCAATGTCAGTTCTACTACGCACTGGGTGCGAGAACAGACCATTATGCGAGTCACACGAAGCGCACCAAGTGAAAAGGGGTGGGGCTGGGGGTGGGTGGTACGAAATCAGACACTCATTTCTTCTGACATAATCTCTCACTGTCTGTGAAGTAGTATGTAATTACCATTACACGTACATGTTACACATGCCGTGTGCGTGAAAGCCCAGGGTATGACACAGCGACACAGACCATTCTTATACACGCGCACTCCGAATCATTAAAAGAAGGTCAGCAAGCTAATAAAAAAGTTCTAACTCCGGCGGTTCGTTTTGTGACTTCTGGGGAGGTCTGACCACGTCCTGACAATTAAAACTTCCGTAACACGACGACCTCTGATAACCGTCACCGATGCATGCCGGTGGCACCGTGTGCACAGTGGTGGGTAGCTTCATGTTCCACTGTTATGCCTCGTAGATTGCTTTCCCTGACAATTGCTTCCCATTCACTCGTTGAGTCGTAGTAGCTTTCCTGAGGTTGTATCAATGCTGCAAGAGAAGATGGGAATGTTTGACAGGGTTGAAGGATGAGGGAGAATGCTAATGCTGTAGCAAAGGGGTTAAAATGAAGCAAGTAAAATCAAACCTGCATACAAGGGTCACCGGAAAGAAACACCGAAAGTGTCCATTATATACAGGTGTCAGTTCTATAGAGGTGGTTTCACTGTATAATGTGGTACCACTCAATTGAAATTACAAAATTGACTTTTGAATTTGAAAAAGGTTGAATGAAGCAATAATCCAGGGTAAAAATACCCGCTAGAAAATGCAGACAGCCTATGATTTTCTAGCAGTGAAAACCAATTTGCAACCTAGAAATGTAGACAAGCTACAATAATTTGTAAGATACCACTGCTGCAAGCCATACTCAGAATGAAATATTTGAAGAAAGGAAATTCTTGTCAATCACACACACTAACTTACCAAGACACTAGATCGGCTCCGATGACATCGTGTATGTGATAGGATATTCCTAGTTTTGCTGCCTTGGGGAGCTTACGAGCTTCCAGTTCCTGTGGAGTGTAACATAAACCGTAACTAAAAATCACCATGCTGGCAATGTGGCTAGCTATGACAAAAAGCCCCCACCCGTTGTTTCTTGGCACAGAGTGGGAAGAAATACAGACCCGTGATGACATGCATGCTGTTGTTTTGGAAAATGCGATAACTAGCCCAGGTTCCAAGGTCACAATTGGTGCTACACACTGATAATCCAGAACAATTACTTACAAAATTATGACTCTTGCGAAACACATTACTGGTTTGGTCGCAATGTGAAACAGCTGACTTCAGGTACCTATAAGCCACTGCACACAGATATTTTGTGATGATGAAGTCACACACATTCACTTAATGAGATTTTCCCATGGGTATATACCACTCATTGCTCACCTTCTGTAAGATTTCCTTATATTTGCATTTGCGAATCATGAGTAGGATTGCCTTTCTGCCACGTAGGTGACTCTTCATGAAGGTTCCAGCACCAGGAACAGATAGCCACCAGCTACCAACATCCCTGACTGCTAACAGACCCGCTTTGAACAGATCTCTGCAATATAACAAGATTTCGTTTAGGGACGAATTCAAATTACTTACTGGAGTGACAGTTCCTAGGAGAAAATGAGCAACCTTATTCCAAAATCACCAGCATTTAGTAGATGCAAGGAACAGTGTGTGCATATAAAACACTTCAAGCAGAAAAAGTCAGCGCAACACAATTCTGGGTCGATTAAAATCTCACTGGGACATGTCACTGTCACCACTGAGAGTTAAAGACCCGGTAACAAACAAACTAAAATCACCGGCATTTATAAAACACGATACAGGGACGACTTATGCTCTACATAATTTTAATACACTCACTAATAGCAGGGCACAGGAAACACAGTGAGAGATATGCCCCACCACCATAACCTGAGCCCTGCTTTGCTACATTTCTGGACTTGACTTGACTTGGTCATGACAATTACATGTGACTAGAAGTGCATTATGGTACATGATATGGTCCAGCTTTATATTGACTAGCTGGAACCCGTGCTACGCGCAGGCTTAGTGACTGTGATGCATGTGTTACCAGTAGTGTTATGTGTAAGGTGTTATATGGAGAGTTTAGTTGTTGGCTTGTTGCACATGTTTTTTTTTATGGTTGAGATGTCAATACAAATACATGTACAATCATGCTTACACGTAACACATTAACCATTTGTTTGGCAAGTACACAGTGAAATACACACACACGCACGCACGCACGCACGCACGCACGCACGCACGCACGCACGCACGCACGCACGCACACACACACAAATGTTTTATTGTATGCTATGTAGGAACTACTG